CCACAATACCGACAAGTGATTAATAAAAGTCAAAAGACCAAAGAGGTTACCTTAATACCAAAAAAAAAAAAAAAAAATGATTATAAGAATCCGGTATTTTTTTTTTGTTGCTGTATAAAAACTATATAATAAAGCTGGTATGATTTTATTAAAAAAAATTTTTCATGTTATGGAGTATAGTGAAAGTTAGGTAATACAGATTCAAATTTTTTTTTTGATGTCAGGAACCTGACCCCTTTAATCGACAGTATGTAATTAATTTGAAAATTTTGACTGATTTGGAACACTAGTATCAGATTTTCACATGTCTGAAATGTGTCAGGTTTGTGGTGCAACTGTGATGCATATTACCTAAACTGCGAATGTTCGCTTTGTCAAAAATCACCTATTTCTCGAAAATCTGTATAAGAAGCCAGCTTTAGTGCTCTAACAAAAAGTTTTTCTTGGGCAATTTTGCTATATCTTCACCTAACCTTTAACCTTATTCTAAACGCTAACCTCAATATTAATGAACTTTAAAGAAATTTTGTTGTACCACAAACATAACATATTTCAGATATCAAGTTTTCGCATTACATTTTAATTGGCTAGATAAAAGAAGAGGAGGTGTCAGGTTACTACTTTACATTTTAATTGGCTAGAAAGAGAAAGAGGGGGTGTCAGGTTACTACGTTACATTTTAATTGGCTGGAAAGGGAAAGAGAAAGTGTCAGGTTATTACGTTTTATTTTAATTGGCTGGAGAGAGAAAGAGGGAGTGTCAGGTTACCACATTTCATTTTAATTGGTTGAAAAAAAAAGAGGAGGTGCCAGGTTACTACATTATATTTTAATTGGCTAAAAAGGAAAAGAGGGGGTGTTAGGTTACTACGTTACATTTTAATTGACTGGAAAGGGAAAGAGTAGGTGTCAGGTTATCACATTTCATTTTAATTGGTTGAAAAGAGAAAGAAGAGGTGTCAGGTTACTACATTACATTTTAATTGGCTAGAAAGGGGAAGAGGGGATGTCAGGTTACTACGTTACATTTTAATTGACTAGAAAAAGAAAGAGGAGGTGTCAGATTACTATGTTACATTTTAATTGGCTGGAAAGGGAAAGAGGGGGTGTCAGGTTATCACGTTTCATTTTAATTGCCTGAAGAGGGAAAAAGGGAGTGTCAGGTTACCACATTTCATTTTAATTGGCTGAAAAGAGAAAGGGAGGATGTCAGGTTACCACATTTCATTTTAATTGGCTGGAAAGGAGAAGGGTGGTGTCAGATTACCACATTACATTTTAATTGGCTAGAGAGGAGAAGAGGAGTGTCAGGTTACCACATTACATTTTAATTGGCTGAATAAAGGAAGAGGGTGTCGAAATGTAGTTATGTAGCAAGTTTTACTTAATATATACGTCATTTTTCCTTATAACGATATTTAGAAAAACTACTTGCAAGATTAGCTATTTAAATAAAAGATTTTGTTTATTATGCAAATTAGTAACCTACTCAGTAAAAAACATGCATTTGGGCTAAAATAACTCAAGCATGCTAATAATTTCAACCTCAATCATTTTAAAAAACACCTTTTATTTATTTTAACTAGGTACATAAGAATGAGCAGTCCTATATACAAAGTAAAATCAGGTAACAAGTATTTATTATGTTCATATATTTATCAATTCAACTTTAAGAATGTTTGATTTCTTTATATAAGCTTACATTTAGGGATGTTAAAAGCCTTCGTCCGATCCAACTTAGACAATCCAAAATCGGTTTAAAGTTTAACTCATGCATAATAATTAGGAAAGTTAAATGAAAGAGGTCACAACTTGATTCTTAAGAAGTTCAGTATAGAAATCTGAAATCAAGGAGTTTAGTAAGATCGGACTAGTTCTTTTTATACTAAAATTATTATTTATGTAGTTCTTAGGATTCTGCTCATAAGTAGTTATAAGTCAGACACAATGTGTTCATGCTGAGTTAACTTAAAAGACCTGACTCTAGTAAACTTTTTAGCAAGCTTGCTTGTATTTAGTTTTTGTCTAGTCTAATTTTCTTTATATGACTATATTATTAAAAACGTTAGCTTTATTTGGTGCCATACTAATGCGAAGGTAAAGTGATCTGAGACATTGAGATCTTATGATTTACAGTATTATATTATTTTTTCTATTACAATCTAACTTTTAACTTAAGCCTGGCGCTAAGCTTTCTTATTTTACTACAATGCAGTTTGAATTAAGCTAAGTCATATAAAATTATTTGATTTTCCAAATGCTTATTTAATGATCACTTTTATTAACAATATTTTGTATTGTAGTTGACTAGTTGATCTTCATAAATGCATTCTGGGAATAGATCAGGCTTTCAACAATACGCATTTAGGAAGATTATTTTATTAAACATAAAATAGAGTGGCAAGATTCTTGAAATTGCAAGAGATAAAGCATACTTGAGATCATTGTGTAAGGTTTTGGATTTGGAACGATTTATTATGTGGGGAATTGGGTTTTAGAGGTTTAAAATGATTTATTATATAGGGATTTGGTTTTAGAGGTTAGAATGATTTTATTATGGTGTACTCATTTACAAGGAGTTAACCGTATTAAATACTGTAATTATTACATAATTAAATAAAATAGTATACTTATTTCGTGATTTCTTTTCAAATTTATCATATTAAAGAATGTGCTAAAAAAAGGTCAAAAATGACAATTTTTTCAAGAGATTTTTTTACATAAATTAATTTAGAATAAGATTAGGATCATTTTTCACTTAAGATACAAAAGTAGTTGTATTAATAAAACTTTGCAGTATAACTCTTTAAAGTTTGTATTTTTTTATGATTTATTATAAGATTTTTAATATAAAAATTGATTTTTCAAAGATCATTTTATTTGTCATTCTCAGCCCTTTTCTTAGCACCTAGCCCATATATATACATCAAATTAAATGAATGCAATGCCGTTTATTTCAATATAAATAAATTTATTATATATGGCCCAACATTAATCAAGCCTTCTGAAGTTTCAATCACACAATATATATCTACACTAACACTAATCCTTCTTACCTTCAAAGACCATACTTTTCAGGTTTTCTATGTCATACTCCAAATACCAACACTGAGAAATTTGGATATTCAGTTCATATTATCATAAGTTTTTGATGTCCTAGGTTTTATATTTCGATATTGCCCTTGAACTATGGCACAATTTGCTACGCCAAATAATTTTCAATTTCAAGTGTTAAGATCACTATTTGATCAATTTTTAACAACACCATCACCAGATATATCATCAGCACAGTTGCATCTAGTCGAAGAATCAAAAATTGATATATAGTTATTATTTTTGGTTTGGCTAATTGATTGCCAAAGGTGCTGAATATATTCTGGTTTATGTTGGTATTCTGCTAGCATTCAGCAATCAAAATGCCGACATACATTCAGCACCTTCGCCAATCAATTAACCAAACTAAAAATAATAACTATATGTCAATTTTTGACTCTTCGACTAGTGTTGATGTTATTGGGTTGCTCAACACAGGTAAGTTTCTAGTATAAAATTTTTCCTTACACTTACTTGAATCAATGCTACCAAATAAAATTAAATAGTAAATGAATCTTTATGAACCTGAAGAACTTATGGTGTACGTAGTAAAGTACATTAAATTAGCAAACACCTATGTAATGGTTGGTAGATCACAGTTGCGTATAAAGTAATATAAATTTATCTTATATTGTGTATAGCAGTGATGTTCACTGGAATGTTCTAGTGAAAATTACTGGAACTGGAAGATCATTAGAACTTACTGGAAGGAATTAGTGAAATATGTCTTCCAGTGATAAGTTGTCACTAAACCCTTTCAGTAAGAAATTTTAGGCTACTGAAAGGAAGTTCCAGTAACTTCCAGATGCTTCCGGTGATTCCAGTAACTTTTATATATAGCTAATTACTATATCGGGTTTGTATTTGCAAAAAATCGGCTTATGATTTTTAACAATAAGAGTATCGTCTGCTGCATAAACCATATAGGGCCATTACATTCATTTAAATTTTTTTTTAAAAAAAGCCATTTATACATATTAAGATAGAACCCGAATAGTTTATATGCAGATTAAACTAAAAGTAGGCATTTGTTTCAAAGAACTAGGTCTGATTAATATTTGGCATCCCCTTTTAGCAAACAGGTCTATGGAAAGGCACTATTAAAATATAACACTTATGCACTTACCAAACCTTAATTTTTTTTTAAAAAAATACTGCATATTAATCCAAATCATTTTCATGATTCTACATAGTAAGATCGTTCAGAAATATATAATTCAAATTCTTGTAATTTTACTTTTGCAAGTTTAATCATTTTAATACGATTTGCTTTGATCATGCAATCTCAGTAAATATAATTTATTCAATTGTAAAAAATTGAGAAATTCTTTCTATTTGTAAAGTCTTAATATACTAATAATCAATATATAATACTATGAAATATGAAATACTTACATTTGAATTAGATTCTTATTCACTGCATAAACTACCTGAATCTGTTACATTCATCCAAAAAAAATTTTTTTTAAAAAAAAACCAATTATACATATTAGGATAGAACCCAAATGGTTTATATGCAGATTAAACTAAAAGTAGATGCTTGTTTCAAGGGACTGGGTCTGAATCTAATATTTAATGCTAGAATTGTGCCAATATGCTATATACTAATTTTAACATTGTTTGATAAGTGCATTAGTATTATGGTTTAATAGTGCTTTTCATGAACCTGTTTGCTAAAAGAGGGTGCCAAGCATAGTAAATATATTAAAAAAAAAAAAAAGAGCATGCTAATAAAAAAAATAAAATAAAACCTTAAACCTCATAAATAAGTAATTATACATTATCATAAGTCTCTTCAGATTAAGTTTAGTTTTAATAACTCGAGTCTTGCTAAAGTTATACTTATGAAAGCTGAGCTAAATTGCATATATATTATGCAATGCATTGTGTGTGATAATATGATTTTTAGTGATATGTCATTAGTAGGGGTGTTAATCAACTTAATTAAATAATCAGATTTATAATAAAAAATATACAAGCAGTTCAAGTCGATTAACACTTCTAGTTATTAGAAAAAGATACCAAATTATAATTATAGAAAGTCTCTTTTAATGCAGATAATTTATTTAGAAAATATAATTGCATATGAAAATCTATAGGGAAAAGGAAGTTTGGGCATTATTGAGAAATTAAATATATATATCTACAGGAAGAATATTAAAATTCATTTCTATATTTTTTTTTCTAATATAAAACTTATAAAATTTATAGAAAAAAACGTTTTTATCTGAAAAAGTATATTTTCCAAAGCTTTTAAACCATCTTGTGACTCTAACAATTCAGCAATTCGTATTCGTATTAACTTTGATGCACTCTAATTAAAATGGCTCAAAGGCATACGGGTGGTCCTGAAAAACATAGATTTACAAAAGATATTATTGTACTTGGTGTGAAAACCACAAACAAATATAATACCAGCTGTATATGTAAAGCTTGTAATGATGCCCTTGGTTGTGATGAAGCCTTAAATGAAACATTTACTAATAAAAAAAATGTTGTAAGAAATCACTTAAAAAAATATAAATATTTTCGTGCCAAACTTGATTCTCAAGAAGCGATAAATGACTATTGTAACAAGACAGATAACAAGGCAGAGAAGAATCTACAAGCTTCAAAAAAACATCCAAATGCTGATGATATATCAGGTAATTTGAAATATTTGAAATTTGCATTCTTAATTATTCAAATAAATATTTTTTTTTTTTTAAAAAAAAAGATGATAACTGCATGAGTGATATAACCTCTGGTGTTTCCTCAACGACATCTAAATCAACTAAAAAGTCAAGAAAAAGACTATTGAATTCTAGCCCTATGTCTAAATTCATTGTTAAAGATATTGCCACAAAAGACAAATTAAGATTTGAACAGTATTGCTTCGAATAACAATATCGAATGGCTGGGCGTTTCATTGGACAACAAATCCAAAAACTAAGAAGTTTTTTAAATTCTTGAATCCAGCAATTAATCTTCCTAGTCGGAGTGTATTATCCAATCGTATCCTTGATGCTGAGAGAATAAATTATATTAAATCATGAGAGCAAAAATTAAAAGAAGACAGTATTGGGGTTACTTTGGCTTTTGACAGGTAGAAAAATATTTTAAATCAACATATTTTTGGTTCATTATTTATTTTGTCAACTGGAGAAGTTCAGATTTGGGAAGCAATTGATACTAGTTCAGAAAGAGAAAGAATGATCAAAATTATTCCTAAAATCGAGAATATGATTAGAGATGCATTGAGTATGAAAGCAAAATTATTAGCAATTGTGTCTGATAGTGCGCCTGCATATGCTGCTGCCAGGTAATTGAAAAAAGTAAAAAATTTAATAAAATATATCAAAAACTTATATATAGAGATTGGAACTGCCTAAAATTTTTCTTAATCGTTTAATCGTTTAACTGTTTAATCGTTTAATTTGGCCGGCATTAAAATAATTCCAATGCATGACCAACATAATTCTGCTCGAAACTATAGAGCAATTTTTAAATGGTTAAATGGTTAAACGGTTCCAATCCCAACTTATATAGTCAAACCTATCTAGCACACCTATAAGTGCAAAATACTGGTCCAAATATATTCTCAATTTCTATAAATGCACTTTGTCTTATTTTCTAATTGCACGTTATTACCAAGAGCGTGCACTTAGAGAGGTCTGATTGAGTTTACTAGTTTGGGCTAAATTAATCTTTAAAATCTAAATTTGTAATAAGAAATAATTTTGCTAAAGCAAAATAATTCGATTCAATCTGCAAATTATATAATAATTTTTTTTATTTTAAAGCCTGAAATATTCTGCCATTGTAAAATAATTTTGTCTAGGCGAAATATTTCTAATTCACCCAAAATACTAGTATTTGTTTTTCAAATATTAACTTTAATTATTCCAATAGACATCGGTTATGATTACAATATCTAAAAATTGCATTCCTTCTTTGTTTTGCTCATCAATGCAATTTAGCCGTAGGAGAAATATTCAAAGAATCTGCAGAATTTAAACTTGCAATGAAACAATCAATAAAAATAGTTAGCTATTTTAACAATACATGCTATTCGTATTTTATTAGAAAGCTTCATGACATACAAAAACAAATATATTTTAAATACATTACTTTAATTTGTCCAAGTGATACTCGTTGGAATTCGTATTGCTATTGTTTCAAAAGCCTATTAAAATCTCGTCAAGCTTTAAGGGTTAGTACTAGGGTTTTGTGAATACTGGGCATGGTACCAATAAAACATAGTGCCCGCACATGGGCACTATGTTTTATTGGTACCACATCTAGCACTTGCAAAACCCTAATTAATATATATAAAATATTAATTTAAACAAGTGTTTAACCCAAATATTAAAAATTTTAAGAACTTAGCTACTACATTCGAGTCACCTTTTGAAAGTTCAGCTTATGAATCAGCATTCTAATAGCTTAGATGAACTTTATTTTTCACAAAATATAACAGCAATTCTACTTAATGACAATTTTTGGCAATTAATAACGCAGTTACATACTTTGCTTCTTCCTTATTATGGAGCTCTTAACAAACTACAATCAGATACTGCACATCTTTATGATGTGCTACAAGCTTTCGGTGGAATTTTGAGAATGTGGGAGGAGTATTCAGATCAAGATTTGGCTCAGCGTATGATTCTGCAGTTAGAACAAAGATAGAGGCAATGGAAACAACCATTACTATTATTAGCTTTTCTTTTAAACCCATTTATTCATGCTATATGGTTTAATTATAATAATGAAAATTTAAACTTTACGTATTTAGCTCAATTTGTTACTTACTATTACAAAGCATGGTTTGAACGCTGGCCAATCTGTATTTTGCTTGAACTAGAAGATTATAGAAAGCATAGATTTCCCTTTGACTTCGAAACATATGAACAATTTGAAAAAGATATACTACGATTCTGGGAATTCATCTCTTCTTCAACTAAAGAATTAGGTTCATTGGCTATACAGTTATTCAGAATATGTGTTAATGCAGCATCTGTAGAGTGACTGTGGAGTTCAATGGGATTTCTTCATACTAAGCATCACAACCATTTCCAAGTAAGGTTTTTCTTGGTTTATAGTTTTAAAATCAACTTACTATATTTTTTTTCTATAGAATGAAAAAGTATTAGCTATGAGTCACATTCATGCTTCAATTAAATTCTCCCGATTAAAGAAACAAATCAATACCTGTGACACTATGTTCAACCAATCCAGTGCACCTCCTATCAGTGAAACATCAGACAGATCAAATGAATTAAATACAAATATGGAAGAAGAATATGATGAATTGAATAACGAATCACCAAACATAAATAATATTGACGATTGGAAAAACCTATTATATAGCTGGGAACAAATGCTAATAGATGAAGAAGTTGCCAGATTAGAAGAGGAAGAAGAAGAACGAGACAATTATGATGGTTATTTGAAAGGCAATTTATTAAGTAATTACAGACATCTAGCAGTAGATGATAGAGCAAAATGAGAACTAAGTAGTATCTTCAATGTGCAATTTCAAAAACTGAATTATATAGATGCTGATAGGTAGGTTTTATTTCTAAATACCTTTTTTTTATTAACGGCTATTACCTCATTACACATGATTCTTGTTAATTAAAATTATGATATATTGGTCTTATAGCAACACTTAAAGCCCTCCCTTAATGTTGTTGATAGTAAGGAAGACCTTAATGTAATAATTCATATTGGAGAATTTCCAAATTCTAAAACATTTCGAGCATATTTGGCAGTTTTAAGATATAGGTCATGTGATATTAAATAATTGGACTTCAAATTTTAATATATATATTCTGTGTTGAAATAGAATCTTATATTTTAAAAGTTTATCTATTTATATAAATTATACATAGTTATTAGTTTTTTAAATCGAACATTAAGCAAGTATAAATATAATTAAAAAAAAAAAGAAAAAAAAAGAAAAAAAAAAGAAAAAAAAAACTTAAAATGCACGTTTATGTTCTGATTATAAATAGAGATTAGAATTTACTGAATTATTGAAGGTTCTTTAGAACTTGAATAACAATGTATATATTGTAACAGATCGATGATATTAGAAGAAATTTAATAAAAGAACATTAATAAATATTATAGTACTGTATAACGAAAGTCATTCTTATTAAAGTTATGTGTAGTATGCGCATTTTTATTTGTTAATATGGCTTGCTATTTATGCATTTTTATTGGATAATATAATATACATTCCAGTGATAAAATTCTTCCAGTGAGAATTTTCACTGGAACTACTAAAAAGCTGGAAGAGTCTGGAATTCCAGTGGCATTCCAGAATTCTAGTGACAACACTGGTGTATAGTATATGAATACGTATATGCAAATGTGACATTAAGACTAGACTTGGGTTTTTAAACTTATCATGTAAATCGAACAATTTTAATAGATACTTATATTATATTATATATATATACATATATATAAATATAACCTGACTTTGGGTTTGACCTCCCACCCCCTAAAAAATCAGAAGATTAATGACACCTCCCTAAATGTTTTTTTCATAATCTTGTTATTTGGTAGTATATAGATTTCTATTACTATTAACTCCAATTGTTTGAAGTATAGCATGATCTTTATCATGTATTTACTTATCTTCTTGATTGCATCTACATGTTTTTTCTATTGTTCTTTTATTAAAATTCCTATATCTGATATTTTTTTCTTATCTTTTATTACATTTGTTCAGTATTCTACATACTTTTTGTTTGCTACATGCATTAGAACCTTTTTTCTCTTTTAGTAATGTTTGTTTCTGTAATTCCCAATATTGCAATTACTTTTTTTTCTGCCCAATCTAGCAGGTTTTTGAGTTTTCAGCCTTTGGTCTTCAATCTATTAATGTTGCAATATGCTATTTTAATTTCTTTTATTTTTTTTTATTTTTTTTCAATTGTTTGTGTTTTGTTTTTGTGTTTTTAGCTTTTCTATTTTCTTTTCTGCTTTTTCTTTCTCTCAGACTAAAAGATGCTTCTTTTTTTTCAAAAGTTTTCTTTTTATTTTACAGAAAAGCTTTAATCTTCTCATCTGTATTTTTAAACTCAACTGAGATGCTTTTAGAAGTAATCAACTGAGTCTTTTCTTACTTCTAGTTATATTTCTTCTATTTTGTTTAGTCTCTTTAATATTTGGCACAAAATATCTTCTACTAGTAGTGTTTTTTCTTAATTTAATGTATTTATCTTGGTTTTCTTTTTTTTTGTGATTGCTTCCTTTCCTTTATATTAATGTTTCTGTCTTCTAACTATTCTTCTATATTTTGTAACTAAGAGTTATTTTTTATTTCTTCATATCTTTTAATTGGTGTTTCATATCTTGTACCTCTAACTCTCAATAATTTTTGTCTTCTGTTATTTGATAGTTTCTTATTGCTTAACTTTGATCTTTCTTGTCTTCTGTCTTTTAACTTTTCTTTTTCTTGAGTTTTTCTCTTTCTAGGATTTTTTCAGCTTACTTGATGATTGTTATACTATATTGATGTTATTTGAGCTGTCTCTGCTTTTTAAACATTTGCAAAAATAATTATTGCAAACTTTTTTAGTTGCTATTTCTATTAATAATATGTATACCACTTTTGCTTACTTATTTCTTAAACATTTTAATAATAATACTTCTAATGCTTCTTTAGGAATATCTAATAATTTTACTATAAACCAGGTTTGTTTTTCTCTTTGTATATAGTCTTTATTTTCTTTCATTACTCTTGCTAATTTATTGTTACCAAGCAGTAATGCTCATATGTTGTCTCTTTCTTTTCAATAATCTGTTACTATAACTGCTAATGCTTTATATTATGATCTTTTGATTTGTATTATATGTATATTTTTTATGCTTCTGCATATATATTTCAGTTATTTTTTATTAATATCTAATAGTAAGTTTCAGATTGTCAGATATCTTGATATTTTTGCCTCTTCTAGTCTTTCTGCATGCAGCTTCTTAGTTTTTTTTAGTTTTATTTTTACTTTTCTATTTTGCTTTAATGTGTTTCTTCTTGTTTGAGCTCTTTTTATTTTATATCTTCAGATTTTTTATTTTTTTTTTGTTGTTTACTCTTCATTCTATGCTTGTTTATTGCATCTTTTTGTTCTTCTTTGCCTTTTACTTGGTTTTATGTCTTATCGGGAATTATTTTAAACCAATCTTTATCTTTTTAATTTAATCAGTTGATTGCTTCTTTTCTTTCTTTTTTACAATTAAATAATACTTTAATTTAATTATTGCTTTTTACAAAAACATCTTCAATCTTTGTAATATATCTATTTGCATTAAGCATTTATTTTATCATGCCTGTTCTTTCTTCTTTGTTTCATCTAGAACATTATAGACAAAAATTTTTACAGTTACTAGTATTTTATTATTGCATAGTCTATTATCTAATGCCCAAATGCTTTGCTCTAGCAATACTTCTGTTGCATCTTCTTGTAGTATTGTTAATTTTTTTTTTTTGTTTTTTTTGTTTTTTTTTCAGGACTTGAGTTCTGTTGTAAAGTCTTTTTATTTCTTTTTGCTTTTTTTATATTTTGTTTTTGTATTATATATCTTTGTTTTCTATTTGTTATTATATTTTCTTTATCTGTTTTGTATACTTTGAATTCTTCTTTAGATTTCTTTTTTTTTTAGAGAATTGCTATTTACATTATATATTTTTGCTATTTATATCATAGTATATAGATTATTATCAGAATTAGTTAGAGTTAGAGTAAGTAGTTTTTTATAATATTAGTTATTATAGTATAAATAACAAAATCTATAGTGTGAATAGCAATTTTCTTTTTTTATTGCCTTTTGTCTTAACTATTTCTTCAGGCTTGTTTGTGCTTTCTGCTTTTTTTTTTGCTGTTGTAAGTTATTTTCTATCTTGAAACTAAAATCTTTTAATCTGCTTTTTTTGTTAACCTTTGTGATAACTTCATTTAATGTTCTTACTGCTGCTATATCTGTTACATCTGCTGTAAATAGTAATGCTGTTTATTTGTTTATTCTTATTTCTATGATATCTGTTATTTTTAGTATTTTGACTAGCTTAGCATTGTTAACTTTTTGTAAGCTCTGTGCTATTAATCTTTCTAGCACCTTTTCTAATAGTTTTCTAGGTTTTATTTTATATGTATTTTCTTTTATACTAATTACTGTTGTTTTATTCATCAGTTGGTTTAGTTTAGTTGTTTTTATATCATATGCATATTCTAATAGACTACTTTAATACATATGTTTGTTTGTTTACTTTGTTTTTTTGTTGTACTTTTTATGTAATCTAAATTGATCTTCATAACAAAGTCACAAAGATTTTCTAAAATTTTTACAAAAAAGTTTTAGTTTTATTAAAATTTTTGATTTTTCTAAGCTATGCTATTTCTAAGCTTTTTTGATTTGTATTTTTGTTTTTTAGCTAGATATAACATTTGCTGCTTTTTCTTTTTTGTTAAAGGTCTAAGTTTCACTTCCTAGTAGGTTTTGTAATTTTTTCTGTGTTTTGCTTCTTACTAATTTTTAGTTGAAAGATCTACAGAAGAGAGTAGTTAATATATTTTATTATATATTTCTATATAATATAATAGTATATTAAATAATAAATATTAAATTGGTAAATATTAAATAAATATCAGCTAAAGTAAATTTAAATATCTAATAAATGAATATTGTATAATAAAGTAATATTTTTATATATAAAAATAAATATTATATTATCTTTAATTTTCATAAAAATATTATGAATTAATATTTTACAAATAAGCTAATATTTAATTATCATATTTTGTAACAAAAAAACTCTCTCTACTGATCCTCATGACCAAATTTGGAGTAGAAAAAAAAATTACAAAAAACACAAAAACCATCAAAACAAAGTGTTAAAGCTGACTAAGCAAAAAAAAAGCTAATAGGAAATTAGTTATAGTTTGTTAGAATAGTAAAATAAAAGAACAGCAGTATAACAGCCCAGAGGCAGTTTTTTCAAGTTCTTCTTGTCTTTT